GATAGGATAGCATAGGGGAGGGGAGGGGAGGGGAGGGGAGGACAGGGTAGGGGAGGGGATTAAAGCTCTGCTGACGACCTGGAGAGGGCATGAAGTTCTTATTCTGAGAGATATCAAGCAGACACGGAATGATCATGGGTCCCTTCACTGTCAGGACTTCCAGTACCCAACAGAGCTTCATTACCCCAGCCAGGCATGTCTAAGAGTCTCCTGGGAAACTGTCAGAATTCCGATTTTTGGACTTCCCTCCATCATTTAGTAGATCAAAATCTCTATCAGAAAACATCAAGTTAATGCCTTTTAAACGTTCTCTGTGAACCAGTGGACAGGCAGGTGAAGTGAGAATTTGCCTCCGAAGTCTCTCTGTTGGTCCCTCATTTAGAGGATGAGAGGTGATGATGTCTCAGCAGCTCAGCCACCCAGGAGGACAGCCATCTCCCTTCATCTAAAGCTTTTCCATCTGGGGAACGCCTCAGTCCACGAGAGTACTGAATACAAAACCTGCCTTCTTAATCGTCATTCATTGTATTATCTCTTTCTTTTCCAAGAATCCACTGGGACTACTCCAAACATTGACATCAGATCTGCCTTCAAGAGAAGGTAATTTCAGAGTGGGAATCCAGATAGCGTTCATATAATAACATGGAGGTGGAAGAGTTTCCCTCCATTCTCCAGATTCCAAAAAGGCACAGCCATTTCACTGCAGTCAACCATATCATGTCTTTAAAATTGCCATTCTAGAAAAGCCATGAGCTTAATGCCCGACCAAGCCTACACTGATAATTTCTTAGAGTATTCTCGCTAGAGTAGACCCTCCATTTGTGCTGGTCTCACGATTGCCTTAGGTTATCCGTGTCAAGGAGTGGCTTCATCCTTATTTGCACTGTTTCCCACCAAATACCCCAAAGGGAAACAGAAAGAATACACCTTATACAGCGCCAGCAGAGCCAGAGCTGAAAACTCATTTCCATTTCTTTTCATCATGTGTGGCGCTACTAAACCGTGTGCCCTACCCAAAACACGGTTGAATAGCTCCTTAGTAAGGTTAATATCACATGCGGTGGGATCATCCTAAGTGGGTAACCACTGAATCTGCTGACTTTGAGGACGATGTGGAAAGGAACCATTTAGACTTCACAGACCGTTTTGTTGAAAAGGAAAGTCACCCTAGAGTATAAAATGTGATCCCTTTATTACAAAGCATGGTTTTGTCTCATTAAAAAACACAATTTACTGCCCAAATTATCAAGAAATACAATGTTTAGTGACTTTTGAAAATACTAGACATTATCCAATTAGTCAATGATAATTTTTAACTTGAAAAAAACCCTCCAACTGTCCAATCTCATTACTGCCCTCCCTCCACCACCCCCCATCTCATCCTTAACAATAAACCAACCTAAATGTGCTCATGGCACATGCAGGTCTATCTTAAGACAGGGAGACAGAAGCTACTGTTTTGTGCTTTAAAAAAATAGAAATGTGTTTACTTTAAAAGGCCCTCGGCCGCCTGCTAACAGAAAATGTGAGAACGCGTTACTTGGGTTTAATGTCTTATGACTTACATCTTAGACACACTGTTTTTAAACCCACATACTCTTTTCTTAGAAACTACAACTAACATCTGTAAAGAGCAGGAAACAAACTCTCCATTAAAAATTAAACATGTAAGTAAATCCGCCGTGCTGTTTAAACACCAGCACCGCAGCTTCTACTTAGAGTTAATCGAAAATCAAGAGAGCGGCTGCATGCCTGGTTTAAGATGCATTTCTCTATAGGGAAACTCCTTAAAAAGTCACTAAGAAAGAGTTAATTAGCAACTCAAGAGAGAACATTCTGAAAACTACACTTTAAAAGGTGCTAGCAAGAAAACCAAATGACTGTACTGCAAAGAGCAGTCTCTTTAAAAACAGAAAGAAATGCATCTTCTAGAAAGCTCTACAGTGAGTAGCTCCATTTTTATGTCCTGTTGGTATCACTTATCTGATTCATCTATTCTTGGGCATAGTGGTTACCTTTGGATATAAGGCCATGTGTGCACTTATATGTCTGACAGGCTCCATTTTGTCCTTGAAGCCAATCTCTGCCTTCCGTGGATAACAGAGATCAGCAAAAGTCCTTTGCTTTTTACACAGGTTTCTGTCCAGAGCCCCCAACTTGCAAAAACAAAGTACTTTGTGTTGCTTGGCTTAAGTGCATTTGTGTTATCTGGTGTTAACACAAATCCAAGCAGTTTCATGTATGCAATCTACACTGTGTCTTCTGCAGTCATACAGTAACACAAGTGCCTTATGTCTACTTTTC